TGGCCAAGAAGTCCGAGGTCAACGACAAGAACCACGAGATGGACGAGATCCGCAAGAAGCTGGGCGGGGCCAACAAGTGAGGGGCGGGGCCATGGGGCGGGGCTAAAAGGGGCATACAGGGGGCGGGGCCATGTGGGAGGGGGCAGTGAGGGTGGGGCCAGCAAGTGAGGGGCGGGGCTATCAAGTGAGGGCGGGGCCAGCGAGGGAGGGGAGGGGCAGCAAGTGTCACTTCCCTCGTGTCCCCTCGCTGTCCCTCACGTCCCCCCGTTGTCCCTTGCTGTCCTTCACCATCATGTCCCCTCGTGTCCCCTCACTGTCCCCATTGACCCCTGGTGTCCCCAGGGAGGTGACACACCTGCAGAAGAAGATGATGGCCATCGAGACCCCTCACACTGTCCTCATTGTCCCCTCATGTCCTCAGGGAGATGACACACCTGCAGAAGGAGATGATGGTCATCAAGACCCTTCACACTGTCCCCTCACTGTCCTCTGGTGTCCCCACGGAGATGACACACCTGTAGAAGGAGATGATGGTCATTGAGACACCTCTTGTTGTCCCCTCACTGTCCCCATTGTCCCCTCGGTCCCCAGGGAGATGACGCACCTGCAGAAGGAGGTGACGGCCATCGAGACGAAGCTGGAGCAGAAGCGCAGCGACCGCCACAACCTGCTGCAGGGCTGCAAGATGCAGGACATCAAGCTGCCGCTGGCCAAGGGCACCATGGACGACATCAGCCAGGAGGAGGTGACGCGGGGACGCTGGCGGGGACAGCGGGTGACATGCGGTGGGCGTGGCCTCGATGGCGCAGATGTGTCCCCAAGACCATGTTCCCAATACCGTGTCCCCAATAATGTGGACGTGTCCCCAACACCGTGGACATGCCCCCAACGTGGTGTCCGCAATACCACGAATGTGTCCCCAAGACCATGTCCCCAATGCCATGTCCCCAATAAGGTGGACGTGTCCCCAACACCGTGGATGTGCCCCCAACATGGTGCCCCCAACACCGCGAATGTGTCCCCAAGACCATGTCCCCAATGCCGTGTCCCCAATACTGCAGACGTGTCCCCAACACCGTGGACATGCCCCCAACATGGTGCCCCCAACACCGCGAATGTGTCCCCAAGACCATGTCCCCAATGGCATGGACGTGGCCTTGATGCTGTGTCCCCAACACTGCAGATGTGTCCCCAATGCCACAGATGTGTCCCCAAGACCATGTCCCCAATGCCGTGTCCCCAATACTGCGGATGTGTCCCCAACACCGTGGACATGCCCCCAACGTGGTGTCCCCAACACCGCGAATGTGTCCCCAAGACCGTGTCCCCAAGACCATGTCCCCAATACTGCAGACGTGTCCCCAACACCGTGGACATGCCCCCAACATGGTGTCCCCAACACCGTGAATGTGTCCCCAAGACTATGTCCCCAATGCCGTGTCCCCAATACTGTGGACATGTCCCCAACGCAGTGGCCCTGTCCCCAACGTGGTGGCCCTGTCCCCATCACGGTGGCCCTGTCCCCAACGCTGTCCCCGCGCAGGGTACCGCTGAGGGGGGTGACGGTGACACCATGGCTGTGTCCCCAACGTGGTGGCCCTGTCCCCAACGCAGTCCCCACACAGTGTGCCACTGGGGGGGGGTGACGGTGACCCTGCGGCCCTGTCCCCATCACGGTGGCCCTGTCCCCAACGCGGTGGCCTTGTCCCCAACACGGTGGCCCTGTCCCCATCGCAGTGGCCCTGTCCCCAATGCTGTCCCCGCGCAGGGTACCACTGGGGGCGGTGACGGTGACCCTGCAGCCCTGTTCCCATCACAGTGGCCCTGTCCCCAACACGGTGGCCCTGTCCCCAAAGCTGTCCCCGCGCAGGGCACTGCTGTGGGGGGGTGATGGTGACACCACGGCCGTGTCCCCAACGCGGTGGCCCTGTCCCCAACGCGGTGGCCTTGTCCCCATCGCGGTGTCCCTGTCCCCAACACTGTCCCCACACAGGGTGCCACCAGGGGAGGGTGACGGTGACACCACGGCCCTGTCCCCAACGTGCTGGCCGTGTCCCCAACACGGTGGCCCTGTCCCCATCACGGTGGCCCTGTCCCCAATGCGGTGGCCTTGTCCCCAATGTGGTGGCTGTGTCCCCATCACGGTGACCCTGTCCCCAACGCGGTGGCCCTGTCCCCATCACAGTGGCCTTGTCCCCAACACGGTGGCCCTGTCCCCATTGCGGTGGCCCTGTCCCCAATGCCGTCCCCGCGCAGGGCGCCGCCGCGGGGGACGAGGCCCCCGGCGCCTCCCAGCGCTCCTCCAGCCTCTACGCGCGCGAGGCGCTCATCGAGATCGACTACAGCGACCTGCCCGAGGAGCTCAAGGTGCGCTGGCCCTTTAAGGGAGGGACACGCCCCCCCCCGGGGCACACCCC